TCAAGCGAAAGTTTGATGATCATCTAAATTTTTTTTTGTATTATTGATACTTATAAATTTACAGGTGATCATATATTGTGTTATATTATATTTCTGGAAAATTTAAGGGGTAGTTATAGAATAATTTTAGACGATCTTAAGTAGTCAGATACTTATGACCACTACTATATAATAAATTATATTAAAATGATTTCTAATAAAAAAATTTCTCTTTATAAATGTAAAGATATGTTGATATATCATAAAATAAAAAAATTTAAAATATTTTTATCATTATGTGATTCTAAAGTGCGTAGATATAGAACAGTTTTTTATAATATTTAGAAAAGTCACACTTGATTTCATGATGCTACACTTAATGTAATAATACGAACCAAATGTCATATGATAGTGACTTTTTTTTATGGTGATACTGAGTAGTTTAACCAATTTAGTTAGAGAAATCTAAATGTATTTTTCATTTTTTCTGCCAATGAATATGTACTTATCAGTAAAAAGTAAAGTTTACTCATATTAGACCTTTCTACTTTTTTAACTTTTGTACCTATAAATACTATTTGAATTGCTTATTGAAATAAAATTACCTTTTATAACCAAACATGTTATTATATAAAATTTTATTTATCTTGAAACTAATGTACATTTTCAGTACATAAATTATGAAATCAAAATTGACTTAAAATCTGCATAATCCCTTTTTCTTTAATAGCATCATTAAATTTTATTTGCATCTTTAGTATTTTTTGATTTGTTATATATTAATATTAAAGTTTCATTCACTTTAAGCATTTTGCATTAAATTTTTTTTCTTTGTAAAAAACTGTTAATATTTGTAATAATTATAATCATGTAATCTTATAATATAAAATTTTTGCGCTTTGTTTATTAGAAAGAAAAATTATTAGTATCTGAATTAATGTTTAGAGAAGTAAATATTATTTGTTTTGTGAAAATCCAAAATCTCACTTGAAGTACTCAGATTTAGACTGCAAATTTATTTTTCTGTGGTTTAGAATTGGCTGATCATTGCATTTCATAAGATATCTAAATTAGTATAGTATTTACATTTTATTTAATCTAAAGTAATACAAAGGATTACAATGCATATGTCATTATAGCTTATTAATTAATTCTATATAATCCTATATAAAATATATTAGTGATTCATTATTTCGTAAAAAAAATGCAATTACCACCTAAATGCTTTAATACTATGAAATACCATGGTAAGAAAAAATAGTGCTAATGATGTTTCATCGACATAACTTATCATTTTGACTACTTAACCTTTTGAGAAAATACAGAAGAACCTTCGCTCAAGAAATTTTTAGATTTTTAACTTTTGGCTAATAATTTAGAAGATATGAAGATTGAATACGCATAGTATAGTAATGAATTAAATACTATCAGCAAATTTTACGTTAAGCTTCAGAATTTAGTTAGCAAATTTTAAATTAGAAGAAAGTTTCTAAGGCAAGTCAATTATTATTTTATTGGATCTGGAGTATGAGTACATAAATTATCCTGTGAACTATCATGTTTATAGTAAAAATGATTATCATATCTGTTTGTGAGTTTGCTTCACAAATCATTTTGAGATTTTTCATATCATTGAGTACACTAACTACTCTACAAATTATTATGTTTATAGCAAAAATAACTATCATGTCTGTTAGTAAGCTATGCTTAATGGACTTTGTGACCTATAATGCTAGTGTAAGAATATTAATGATACAGTCTAGATACCTGTTTGTTTGTAATATCTCCTATTTTTTTTTGTATCTGAATAAGATAAATTATAAAATGAAATATATCAAGAACAATACTTATAACTTCTATTTATTATCATTAGAGTAATAAAAAATCTGCTAAAATAAAACATTTCTGGAAACTTTAAGTTAAGAGATAAAACATCATTGGGAAAGCTAAATTGCATAAGGATAGAGTCAATACACAAGTTAAAAAGACAGTCTAAGATTTGCAGGTGTTTAACGCTCCTATTCTTTTATATTCCTATTATCCTAAATATTTAATATTCATGATCCCATTTCCTATACACAGGTATCCTGACACAACTATTGCTGATGTGATAACAGAATAAATTAAACTTTATGCTAGATCAACCATTATTAGTATTATAAAGAGGTTCTTAGATTATAAGGAAAAAACAGTAAAATGTGTCAGAATTCATGAGGTAATTATTATTAAGTTTTATTATTACTGAGTTATAGATTTTCAGTTTAGCCACCAACAAAATTTAACTGACTAGTCTTTGTAAATACAAAAGAATAGTAATGATAATGATACTAAAAATAATTCTTTTTTAGTATCAAGTGAACAATTATCCAATTATGAATTTGAGAATGATGAAATAATAACAAATTTAGAAGAAAGTAAAATGCTTTCTCAATCACAAAATGATTCACTTTTTCATACTTCAAATAAGCAAAAGATGAGTGATAAGAGGATTATTCAGTATCTTGATGCCATTTTAAAATATAATCAAGTTATGGTTCAGAAACTATCTGTATGAATGGAATCCTTAAGTATTTATATTGATAAAGTTTTAAAGGTGGGTTTTCATAATACTAATTAACGATTAAAGTTAATAAACTTTTAAATATCTTTTTTATCATGTTATAGAAATTAAAAGATAATTTTAAGTTGAAATTAATGCAAAATATTGAAAGTGAAAAAAACAGATTTCGCTTTTATTATGAAAAAATATTAATAGATTTGTAAGTTATTTCCATTTATTGTTATTCTTTAGATGTTTTAATTCTTAACCTTATTTTCTAATTCTAGTTATAAAATGGTTAATATATTCCTAAATCTGTCAAGAAAAATTAGAGAATGAAAATATATTATTCAAAACATTTCCTCTCTATTTAAGTTTTATGAAGTCACGTTTAAAATGTTTATTTTAATTAGATAGAATCACACTCACTGGTATCTAAATTAACAAAATTACCTACAAATTCTGATATTATTAAAGTTAATATAAAAGGTAAGTAATAATGTATACTTGTAATTTTATAATATTCAACAATAATTCCAATTACTTTAATATTTCTGAAAGGTATTCGAATATTTAATGAGAAGGAAATATTTCATATAGAAATTTTGAGTCTGTCATTACCATTATTAGATGATCATGCTATTAATGATGCAAAAAAATCTCTATATACATTTTCAACTTAATTATGATTTTACTTGATTACCTTCAAGGTTTCGTAGAAAATGCAACTAATATTAAATTTTTAGTTTGCAGGTGATTAGTAAATACCTTATATTTACTTAAAAATAAATGTACTAAAGTTATTAATTTTGTGTTTTAATTAATTATTAGAATATCGTATGACATTATATTCACTTAATATGCTAAATAATGGTACTTTTCTAACGTTTAAACTATATTCTACCTTATTATCATTTTCACTTAACGCTATATCAAAGTATAATTATCTTATAATAATTCTTTATGTAAGTAAAGTTATATAAATATAGTTTATTAATTTTTAGTTACACACTAACCATTTGTGATCTTTAAGAAGAAATTACAAAGCAAATCCTCATTATGCAAAATCTTGACCAATAGTTAATCATAATAGAAAAAATACAGTTTGAGATGTATTGAAATTTTCAAAAACTTTAAAAGAGCTATTTGAGTACAGAAAATAATAACACAAGATAATTTGAGTTAGAGATATGCTCCGGTGAAATCCGTTCAATCCGTCATCCGATCTGATTAAAAAACAGATCATTCAGATTATGAATGAATGGATCGCGAATAATCCAGATGTGATCCTCGGATAACATCAGATTGAGCGGATGACCGGATTGATCAGATAATCCGGTCATTTTATTTTATTTTTTTTTTTTTTAAAAAAAAACCACCTTATTTTCTTTAGGATCGAACATGGATATGGATATGGACTTGAACTTCAGAATTTAGGATTAAAAAGTATGTTGGAATAGGGGGTAAATTCAGTTTTTTTTTGGAATATTACTAACATTCCTTTCTTTTTTTTCTTTAGAGAACGCCTTCTTGGACCTGGATTTTGGCTTGGGTTATGAAAGTAAGTTAGGTATGGGTTTTTCTTTGTCTTTCTTTGTCTTTGGAATGCCATTAACGTTCCTTTTACTTATTTTCTTTAGAGAACGCCTTTCTGGACCTGAATTTCGGCTAGGCTATGAAGGTAAATTGGTGCTTTTATTTTTTCTTTATCATTGAGAATGTCATTAACGTTCCTTTTGCTTCTTTTCTTTAAGGGACCTGGATTTGGCTTGGACTATGAAGGTAAGTGGTGTGAGGGTATTATTTTTGTTTCTTCTTTGTCTTTGGAACGCCATTAACGTTCCTTTTGCTTCTTTTTTTTAGGAGACGCCTTCCTGGATCTGAATTTCGGCTTGGGCTATGAAGATAAGGTGATGTAGGGGAATGTTTTTGTTTCTTTATCTTTGGAACGCCATTAATGTTCCTTTTGCTGCTTTTCTTGTGGTTTTTTTATTTTTCTTTGTCTTTGGAACGCCATTAACATTCCTTTTGCTTCTTTTCTTTAGGAGACACCTTTCTGGACCTGGATTTCGGCTTGGATTATAAAGGTAAAGTGGTGTGGGGGATTGTTTTTGTTTCTTTATCTTTGGAACGTCATTAACGTTCCTTTTGCTGCTTTTCTTGTGGAATTTTTATTTTTCTTTGTCTTTAGAACGCTATTAACGTTTCTTTTGCTTCTTTTCTTTAGGAGACGCTACCTAGACCTGAATTTTGGCTTGGGCCATAAAGGTAAGTTGTGGTGGGTTTTTGTTTTCTTTTTTATTTTTGGAACATCATTACCAGTTCTTTTGCTCATTTTCTTTAGAGAACGCCTTTCTGAACCTGAATTTCGACTTGGGCTATAAAAGATAAGTTGGGAGAGTGTTTTTTTTATTTTTCATTTATTTTTCTTTAAAAATCATTTACATTTCTTTTCTTTTTTTCTTTGGGATACTTTCCTGAATCTGGATTTTAGAATTTTGGGAAGGAAAATTATTATTTATTTATTTTCTAT